TAAAAAAGCTAAGCCGGGGCTAAGATCTAAAGACAAGTCATTTCATATTTTCAGGTAATATTTAAACATAGCTTCTCGTCGAAACCCCATCATAACGCGATCCCGTAGTCGAGCTCAGAGGAGTCGTGTAAACATGAGTTCACAACCGGAACAATCCGACAGGTCTGCTACTACCGCCCAACCTGAGACTACGAGTTTGGGGGTTCAGCTGACCGAAATGCTTACTAAATTTAGAGAGATGGCTACCGAGATGGCGACCCAAAGGAAATCGATTGACGAGCTTATCAGTAGCAGAGTTCAACCCGAGCCCGTGCCCGCTAGACAGCCTGAGCAAGAGCCATTTGTCATACCTTCGACTCAAGCCACTGTTACTCCATCCTTTCCTATTCCACCCGAAGAAACTTTCACCTATCCTACCACAAACTTGCCATACACTTACCCCCTTAATCCTCCAATTTTTCCTACTCATATGCGAGGTCCACAACCCCACGTCACATCAAATATACCACCTGAGCCACATACCTTTTACCACCCTACTGCTGAGCCATTCCTGCCAGACCATACTGTTCAAACCAAGCCAGAAATGGGGGAATCTTCCGCTCCCGTTGATATGAAGTTGCTTAAGCGCCTTGACCGTTTTGATGAATTTATGAGGAAAAGTCAGGGGTTGAACAAGCAAGGAGTCTTGGATTACGATGAGCTTTGCCTTTTTCCGAATGTACAGTTGCCTGAGGGATTCAAAACTCCTAAATTTAACAAGTATGACAGGACGGGTAATCCCAAAACACACCTCCGACTATTTGCTAAGAAGTTGGGAAAGCCGGTAGATGACGAGAATTTGCCTTTAAGGTTGTTCCCCGAAAGTCTGGAAGGGGATGCACTTGACTGGTACTCCAATCTGAAGCCCGAAGAAGTAAAAACCTAGATTGACTTATCCAGTGCTTTTGTAAGGCAGTACGAGTATAACTGCGAGTTGGCTCCGACACGAACCACGTTGGAGGGAACAAAAAGAAAGCCCTCTGAGGATCACAAGACTTATGCCAAGAGATGGAGGAAAATAGCTGCAAAAGTCGAGCCACCAATGACCGAGGACGAAATCATACGCACGTTCATTAAAGCACATGATCCGCCGTACTTTGAAGAAATTTTTCGCATGACTGGATGTTCGTTCGCCGCCATTGTCAATAAGCTTGAAGAGTACGATGACTTTGTAAGAGGTGGGAAGATAGTTAATGTCTCCGCTCTCAAAATGCAGTTGGATGCTTTACAAGGACAAGGGAGTAGTGGGAAAAAGCCGCAATTTAAAAAGAAAGAGGGGGAAACTGCCTTCATCTGGGATCAAAACCCTATACCAAAACCCCGATTTCAACATCAACCAACCTATTCACCGTATCCCAACTATCCAAGCCCTTACCCTGTCTACAGTACCAATATCTCGCACCCCCGACCTCGTCCAAACTACGCCAACCCGCCTACGGCCCCTTTCCAAATATCCCAACCTAGCTTTTAACAAACTCGTCCTCGACCCCCTTACCATCAAAGAGCTCCCCCACTGAACAGACCCACCTATAACTATCCCCAACTTACTGAAGCCTACAATCAAAATCACACCCGAACATTCACCAACCTTGGCAGCCCTTTGGATCTGTTGTATGAACAATTAAAGGCTGCCGGTAAAATAGGCGTGATTCCCCCTCCAACTTACCCGTATGGCATGCCAGTTGGGTATAATCCACAGGCTACTTGTGCTTATCATTCCGGAGCACCCGGTCACTCCACGGCCAATTGTCGACTCCTTAAACATAAGGTTCAAGACATGTTGGAAGCAGGGGAAATCGTGGTTAGGAAGAGAGAAGAGCAAGGACCGAATGTGAGCAAGAACCCCTTGCCGGAGCACACTGATACTGTAGGAGTTATTATGGATGATGAGGAATTTGAGGAGCTTGTCCGAAGCGTGTCAAATAAGACAGAAGTATTTGGGATAATGGACCAACCATTTGTGATAGAGGAGGCATCGTATGAGGAAGACAAAATGCCCTTCATTTTAGACCTAACCCCATCTGAAAGTGCGGCCTTAGAACCTGTAGTAATTGAATTCCCAGAACAAGCGCCAGTTTTAAGCCTACGACAAGTGCCGTGGAATTATAGTGAGCCCGTTTTGCAAATCGGAGGAAAACCAGTTTTGAAGGAAGAAGTGTCTGTTGTTATGAGGTCAGGGAGGATTACCAGTCCCTCCGCCGCTAGTGCCCCAGTCCAAGGAAGCAATTGTGAACCGACTACCAAACCTGCAGTGACCGAAAAAGAAGCGTGGGATTTTCTCAAAAGGCTTAAGAGAAGCGAATACAATGTGGTTGAGCAACTGAACAAAATGCTTGCCCAGATTTCTATCCTAGACTTGCTTTTCACCTCAGACTTGCATAGGAATGCATTACTTGAAGTGTTGACTAAGGCTCGTATTCCCAAGGATATTTCGATTGACAATTTCTCGCACATAGTTGGGAATGTACTGACTTCCAAACAAATAACCTTTTCTGATGAAGAGTTGCCTGCCGAAGGAACTGGTCATAACAAGGCCTTGTATGTAGCTGTGAGGTGCAATGGAAGAATGTTGCCTAAGGTACTGATCGACAATGGGTCTGCCCTTAATATTTGTCCTTGGAGCACGTTGGTGAAATTAGGGCTGCAAGATGTCAAACTAAAACCCTCAGAGACCGTAGTTCGAGGATTTGACGGAGCCCAAAGAGAGTCCCTAGGAGAAGTAAATTTGGTGGTCGAAATGGGGCCCGCTCAATTTCAGATAGCTTGCCAAGTTATGCATTTTCCTAGTGTCTATAATGTTTTGCTCGGACGGCCGTGGATCCATAGCTCGGGCGCTGTACCCTCTTCCCTGCATCAAGTGCTGAAATTTGTGGTGAACGACCAGCTGGTAACCATTTTTACTAAAGAAAATTGCATTGTAATCGCTGATTCTGAGCCTGAGGAGGATGGTAATCGAAATGCTTCAGTGTCTTCTTATCGTACAGCTGATACTGTCTCTGTGAGTTGGAGAACGAGCGAGGAGTCAAAAGACGAAAGGGTTTTGCCAGCGGCCAGTGTTATGATGGCCAAGGAAATGATTCGTGGAAGATATGAATTTGATAAGGGATTGGGATGCAATCTGCAAGGCATTCTGAAGCCCGTGGAACTCATTGAAAAGAAGGACCAATTTGGGTTGGGATTCCGTCCGACTGCCAGAGATATACAAGAGATGAAAGCGCGCAAAAGGGCAGAAAAGGAAGGCAAGTTAGGTGCGCTAGACATTCCGCCGTTACGCTATACCTTTCCAAAGCCAGCTGAAGTCATTACATCTGAATTTAGCCCAATTGATGAAGTGGAGACAAGCTTGACTCATTTGTTTGTGGGAGCAATATCCGAAAATGGCCCGTCAGATGATGCCGAATTCCCAGACATTCCCGAAGGAGCTATACACAACTGGACCGCCGAATACTTTCCTATGCAAAAGGAGTTTCGGTAAATGTACAGGGGGTTGTCATTTATTAAAGTTCATGAAAACTTTTTCTTGCATATGTAAATAGTTCAATGAAAGCATCTTTTGCACTTATGTCTTAAGCTTGTTTCCGCTTTGATTTGAAGTTTTATGAAAGTGCATAGTTTGTTTTATCATGCCATTCATTCATGTGTCTATTTGCTTATTGTCTCGAATTTTTTAATTCTTTCAGATGGCCAAAAATAAAATTATTTGACCCTATGGATATCACTGTTCTGGAATCCAATGATGACAATCTTTATATCACTCACGACTTGGAAGTTATGCAATCTGAATTACAAGACGAGAGTGATAGTGAGGAAGTGTTTGATTCTTTTTCAAAAGATCTTGAACAATATGAGGAGAAACCTAAACCGAACCTAGAAGAAACAGAAATTGTCAATGTTGGCATTGAGACTGAGGTTAAAGAGATACAAATCAGCATTCATTTGAACAAAAAGCAGAAAGAGGAGATGATTGAATTTTTGTCTATATTTCAAGATGTGTTCGCATGGTCTTATGATGATATGACTGGCATTTCGACGGATGTAGTGGTGCACAGATTACCTACAAACCCAGCTTTTCCACCAGTAAAACAAAGGCCCCATAAATTCAAACCAGACATGAGCCTCAAAATAAAAGAGCAAATTGAAAAGCAACTTAAGACTAACATTATCATTGTATCCCATTACCCCGTTTGGCTCTCAAACCCAGTTCCTGTTCCAAAGAAAAATGGAGAAGTACGAGTTTGTGTTGATTATAGGGATCTCAACAAAGCCAGTCCAAAAGATGATTTTCCTTTGCCCAATATCCACATCATTCTAGACAACACTGCCGGACGCGAAATTGAATCTTTCTGTGATTGTTTTGCTGGATACCATCAGATCTTAATGGCTGAAGAGGATAGAGAAAAGACTGCATTTATCACCCCTTGGGGCACCTTTTACTATCGAGTAATGCCATTTGGTTTAAAGAATGCCGGAGTTACTTATCAAAGGACTATGACTACTTTGTTTCATGATATGATCCACCAGGAGATGGAGGTCTACGTGGATGACATTATAATCAAATTCAAGAAAGCCGAGGACCATTTGATTGATTTAAGAAAGTTATTTGAAAGGTTGCGAAAGTACAATTTAAAGTTAAATCCGGCAAAATGCGCCTTTGGAGCGCCAGCTGGTAAGCTGTTGGGATTCATCGTCAGCAAAAAGGGCATAGAGATAGACCCGGTAAAGATCAAGGCAATTCGAGACATGCCAGTGCCGAAAACGCAGAAAGTTTCTTGGGGAAAATTAATTTCATTGGAAGAGTCATTGCCCAATTGACCGCGACGTGTGAACCATTATTCAAGTTGCTAAAAAAGAATGTGTCATTGCATTGGAATGAGGAGTGCCAACAGACTTTTGACAAGATTAAAGATTATTTGCTGCACCCTCCGGTCCTAGTGCCACCCAAACCAGGCCGGCCTTTGATCATGTATTTATCCGTACTCGACGGAGCAGTGGGTTGTGTTCTGGGACAACACGATGATTTCGGAAGGAAAGAACAGCCCATCTACTATCTTAGCAAGAAACTCACCCAGTATGAGGCTCATTATTCATTTATTGAGAAAAGCTGCTGTGCATTGGCCTGGGCAGCTCAAAAGTTGAGACACTACCTGCTAAGTCATACCACTTATCTCATATCCCGTTCCGATCCTTTGAAATACCTCTTGGAAAAGCCGATGCCAACTGGGCGTCTGGCCAAATGGCAGATGGTTCTTTCAGAGTTTGATATTGTTTTCACTTCGCAAAAGGCCGTCAAGGGGCAAGCTATAGCTGATCATTTGGCAAAAAATCCAAGAGACGATGAGTATCAACCGCTTCATACCTATTTCCCTGTTGAAAAGGTTTTATTTGTTGGTGTCATAAAAGATATGAGCGAGCGGTGCCCTGAATGGAGGTTGTTTTTTGATGGTGCCGCTAATTCTTTCGGAGCTGGAATCAGAGCAGTTCTTGTATCTCCAGAAGGAAAGCATTACCCCGGAGCTGCTAAATTGCAATTCGCCTGTACAAACAATATGGCCGAGTATGAAGCCTGTATTTTTTGTCCTAAAATGGCTTTGAAAATGGAAGTTAAAGAGTTGATAGCCTTCAATGATTCAGATTTACTTGTGCACCAAACGCTGAAACAATGGATAACCAAAGATTCCAAAATCTTGCCATACCATTGTAATTTGCTCGATCTGGCTAGACAATTTCAAAGTTTGGAATTCAGACATCTCCCACGAGCCCGAAATGCATTTGCAGATGCCTTGGCCACCTTATCTTCTATGATACAATATCCAGATGAATTGGGAATCGAGCCTATCCGGATTCAACTCCAAAATAAGCCTGCTCATTGTTGGGTCATAGACAATTCTTCTGGCAAAAGCCCTTGGTACAATGATATTAAGGAATTCATCAAAACCAGGGTTTACCCTCCGGGAGCTAATGCAAAAGACAAGGTTTTCCTGCGTAGAATGGCCTCGAAGTTTTTCTTAAGCGGAGAGGTATTATACAAAAGGACCTCAGATTTGAACCTCTTAAGGTGCATCGATGAAGATGAAGCTCAATACATGATGAAAGAGGTGCATAGCGGCGTCTGCGGACCTCACATGAATGGACATTTGTTAGCAAAGAAGATTATGAGAATCGGGTATTTTCGGCTTACAATGGAACGCGACTGCATAGATTTTGTCCGGAGATGTATTAAATGTCAAGTGCATGGCGACGTTATACGTGCTTCTCCCACCGAATTGCATAGCATGATTGCTCCGTGGCCCTGCTCAATGTGGGGTATGGATGTGATCGGCACAATTGACCCTCCTGCTTCAAATGGGCATCGGTTTATATTGGTGGCAATTGAGTATTTCACCAAATGGGTAGAAGCTGAATCATTCAAGCATGTGACTAAGAAGGTGGTGGCGAATTTTTTAAGGGATCACATCATATGCCGATTTGGGGTACCAGAAACATTGATTACAGACAATGCTAAGAATCTCAACAATTATATGGTGGATGGGCTATGCGAACAGTTTAAAATCAGACATCGCAACTCTGCCATCTATAGACCACAGATGAATGGAGCCGTGGAAGCCGCAAACAAGAATTTGAAGAAGATCATTCGCAAGATGACTGAAAAACATCGTGACTGGCATGAAAAGCTCCCTTATGCACTAATGGCGTATCGGACTTCTATCCGAACATCAACCGGGACAACACCCTACTCGCTCATGTATGGAATGGAAGCTGTGCTACCTGCCGAGGTCGAAATCCCTTCATTGCGGGTTTTAATGGAGACCAAGTTGAAAGAGGCTGATTGGATAAAACAGCGTTTTGAACAACTGTCCTTGATTGATGAAAAGCGTCTTAATGCTATTTGTCATGGGCAATGTTACCAAAAATGCATGGCCCGGGCCTACAACAAGAAAGTCCATTTGTGAATATTTGAGGAAGGCGACAAAGTGCTGAAGCGGATTTTGCCAGTGCAAGATGAGGCCAAAGGCAAATTTGCTCCAAATTGGCAAGGGTCATTCATTGTTCAAAAGGTATTACCTAGCAGAGCACTCATTTTGGCAGAGATGGATGGACAAACATTCCCTCAACCTATCAACTCAGACATGTGTAAGAAGTTCTTTATTTGATTATGCAAATTTCTTTTAGGAGATCGCGCAAGAGACGAGGCAAAAGTCAGGCCCTCTTCCTTTCCAATCAAAACATTTCATCCCTAGTCATCCCCTTTGAGCTATCAGAACCATAATTTTCGTTTGGCAGCCTCTGAGAATTGCAAACCCCACACTGGGGCAAGTTCATTTTGAAAAAAGATTATCAGAAGGAAAAAAAAACCCACACTGGGGCAAATTTAGTTTTTTGAAGAAAAATGCAAAAGTGAGGAAAATGCAATGAAAAATACAAAGAGAGAGAATTCAATCAAACTGGGGCAAATTTTCCCCAGTTTCGTTTGAAATTGGAGATGATTTCAAATGATGCAATCTCAGGTTGTTTCACCTTTTATAAGAACAAATTGCTTTCAAGCCTTAACTTTTCTTGAAACACCCCACCTGACCTCATTACAAAAGCCCAAAAGTCCTGGCTTTCGTCACTTGCTATATTTCTATTAGGAAATTCGCTAATCAACTGGCAAGTGATGTCCATAATGCCTTCACCTAAACTTATAAGGGAAGCGCATTTTACTGATGCCAGCAATCTTCAACTCATATTCCTGAGTCGATCATGGTCGAATTTTTCCATTGTTCCTTAGGTGAAAACCCGAAAGGGCACCTCAAAAAAAAACAAAAAAAAAACAAAAAAAAAAGAGAAAAATAAAAAACAAAAAAAACAAAAAAAAACAAAAAAAAAGAAAAAAAGAAAAAAGAAAAAAAACAAACAAAAACAAGAAGCAAAAAGGGTGGGGGCAACCTTGGTGAAAATCCGAAAGGGCGCCAAGGTAGGGTTCTGCAATGAGCGAACACGAGGAGTAACAGCTGGTGACTTGATTCATTTGGATTTCTTTTCGTTTTGTACCACTTCTGTCAATATTGAATTCCGGAACAAGGATATCCAGAGATTCGAATATGGCGTCTGTTAGCCACAAACTGTCTCACTTTGAATAGATATTCTTTTGCAAATACATTCCTATGAAGTTCATTTTTTCTCAAATATTTGTATTCATGACATTTTCATGGGTTTAGGCATGATTGTTCGCATCCTTTTGTATATTCATCCTGGCATGACATGTGATTTTATCATACATCATTTCTTCTAATCAGTGAGCTTTAATAAATGACAATCCCCATGGTTTGTGCAAAGCATACGTTCGGATTCAGTCATCTTTGGAAATGGTCATGATTCAACGGAGCCCGTTACACAGATCTCATAATATGGTTGAAGGCATTCCCGGTCGGTCTGAGAAGAATCAGAGAGCCTTTGAAGTAATAAATCCAACTAAATCAGATACTACAGCCGAATTGGACAAAGACATCAAAGGACTCATGTTTACACGATTCTCAAAGGGAACCGGGTCAAATGATGGTGGCAATTTCCTTATTCTTTCTCTTCTGCAGGAAAATCTCATGCATAGAGGAAAACAATAACATCTCGCACTCAAGTCAGTATCGAAAGTTTCCAACAAACAAAGGCAGATCGGCCAAGTTGCAAGCAGGTTTGATCAAAGGCACAACAAAACGATGGTGTAGAATCAACCTTTAGCTCAGAAGCAGAAACGCAACCTCGAAAATGAAAATTTTGAATTGAGGCTATTTTCAGGTAAGTATACCGGAATTTCTCTGATTTAAATTTCATATTGGGGTCAGTCCCCTCGGGTCAGTCTCGATTTTAAATTTCATGTTGGGGTCAGTCCCGATTTTAAATTTTTTTTTGGGGTCAGTCCCCTCGGGTCAGTTCCGAATTTAAATTTTATGTTGGGGTCAGTCCCGATTTTAAATTTTATGTTGGGGTCAGTCCGCTCGGGTCAGTCCCGAATTTAAATTTCATGTTGGGGTCAGTCCCCTCGGGTCAGTCCCGATTTTAAATTTCATGTTGGGGTCAGTCCCGAATTTAAATTTTCTGTTCGGGTCAATCCCTTTTAAATTTCCTGTCTCGGATCAGTCCCGATTTTAAATTTTCTGTTCGGGTCAGTCCCGTTTAAATTTTCCGTCTCGGGTCAGTCCCGATTTTAAATTTCCTGTCTCGGGTCAGTCCCGATTTTAAATTTTCTGTTCGGGTCAATCCCGTTTAAATTTCCTGTTTCGGGTCAGTCTCAATTTTAAATTTCCTATTCGGGTCAGTCCCGATTAAATTTTTTGTGTTAAAATTCTCGTCTGGGTCAGTCCCATTTTAAAATTTTTGTTAAAGGGGTCAGTCCTCAGTCGCTTGATTAGTTTGCAGCCGAATAACATAGGTAAGTATTTGGTGTCTACTTCTTTGTCTCAAGTTTTTTCAAAAACTCAGACAAAGAGGGGCAAACTGTAGACACCAAATTTTTAAATAATTTGTATGCTTTTTATTTCTGTTTTAGTGATAATTCCTATCTATTTTTATTTGTTAATTTCATGATTTTTGTTTAGGCTGTTTGCATTTTTATAGCATTTTAGATCATTATTATCTATTATTTTTATTTTTAGTTTTCAGTTTTGTATTCGTTTTTTTTTTGCCCTTTTAGCTGTTTATTTTTATTGTAAAATTTTTAGCACAAAATTTGTCAAAAGAAAAATTAGGCATGAAAAATGAGTTTTATTTCTTTTATTGTTTATTAATTGAAAAAAAAAGAAAAAAATCATTAATCAAGCACGTGAAAAATCTTAGTTTGATTTTTATCTTTCGTTACTAGTTTTGTGCTTTTTATTTAAATTTAAATTATCATTTTGTATTGTTGATTAATTAAGTGATTAAAAAAAAAGGGGAAAAATCCACGTTTTGGTTTCGGCTGCAGTAAAAAGGATTTGCAGCTGCATTTCTCGGCTATTTAGGTTTTGGCTCCGTTCGATGGCTATAGTACAGACCACCTGGCTTAATCCAGAAATCTCAATGGTTGAGCATCAAGAACCATCAGATGGTTCCCCAAAATGCAGCCGACTTCATCCAAACCATCGTTGAGAGGGTTTAGTTTTCTAGGGCCATATAAAAGGAAAGAGGTGACGGCTGAGAGCAAGGGTTTTTGGGGGAACAAATGATGAAAAAAAAGGGGACGGTTGAAAGGGCTGAGGTTTGAGGGAAAAGAGAGAACAGCGGCGGAGGAAACTAAGAAAACTAGAGAGAGCTGAGAGGTTGAGAAAGGGAGAAAACTGTCGGGGAAAGAAAAAAAAAGAAAAAAAAAACCGAGAGGCTTTGGACGGCTGTAAAAACTAAGAAAGTGAGCGGAGAGCTTAGGAGAAAAGGAGAGAAACGAACGGTAAAAAGGACAAGCTTTTAGGTTGAGAAGGAAGAGATCTGGGCAGAGAACTGAAGGGAAAAGCTGGCGGGAGCCTCAGGAACGAAGGAGGAAGAAAACGATTTCGAGTAAGAGTGAAGCAAGCAAGGGAAACCTTGGACAGTGAGGAAAACAAGGGTTTCGCAGGGATCTGTTTGCGCAAGGACCTGGATCTGGTTTTGATTCTTTAAAGGCTAAAGGAAATCTTTCCATCCTTTATGTTCATGAGTTATGGGGTCTACATCATAAGTTTCAGAATCTCTGTTGCTACGGATATTGCCGTGTTCTTTCATTTTCTTCCTTCCTGGTACTTGCTATTTGTGCATCTGATAAAAAGGGGGAGAAGCTTTGATTCATGTTTTGCGTTAAGTAACGTGTAAAATATATCAATCCAAGGCTTGCTCTCTGTGACAGTTTGTCTCTTCTTTCTCTGTTTCGTTTTCCCGCACAAGACTAGATTTTTGTATTTAGTTGCTGAAGTTTTGTGTTAAGAATGGAGTTTGTCATTCTCTTTGAACCAAAACTTGATGATTATTGATAGATTGATGCTTGTTTGTATTTTGATATGAACCCCAGAAGCTGTCAATTTTCATGCTATCTTTCTTCCGTGAAGCTAAGTGGGTATGACCCGTAGTTTTGATCTGGTTTTTGGGGGATGGAAGTGTGAGATCTTTTCTATAGGTTTAGCTGATGGGTCCGTGAGGGTTCATGGTTGTTTTCTTTGGTTGTTTTGGGCGCAATCTGGGTTAGAGAATTCTGGGAATGCATAATTTATGGCTAGGTTTTGACGATAGGATGTATAAGGTGTTGTTTTGGTTCGAAGAGATTGCCGTTCACTTGAATTTTGTTGGGCTGCGTGTGTCCTGAATGCCATCATTGGAAGTTGCAGTTTTTACTTCCAGATTTGCATGATTTTCTTGAGTCTTTATGTTGAAAATGAAAAGCAAGCCTTGTGTTTTCGAGATTTTGATTCCAATTTTCTTTTGGTTTGATTGAAACGCTAAGTGGTGCCTAATTGAAAGGAAGATCACATCTCGTAAGATTTCAATGTTGCAGAAATGTTTTGCAAGCTTTGCATGAAGTCGCTTAAACTGTTCAGATTTTTCATGTTTATTATCCGACTTTTGGTGTTTCAATCTACAAGTTTCATGATGCAAAAATAAGAGGAATGTGTGGTAGTTTATTTGGATTTAATTGTGTTTGAAAGTTGTTTTTTTTGTGAAGTGCCGAATTGCAGAAACAAAGAAGGCTTGGTTCGGTGTTGCCTGAAGCATTTGCATGTTCTTGCATGAAAAACTTTCAATAACTGTACTTTGACCCCTTGGCTTCTAACTAATGCTGCTATGACCTAATCGATTGAATAATTTCCTCAATTTGGTCCTTGGTAATTTTAATTTTACAACTTCATTGCTTGTTTGCTTCAATTAACTACTACGTTTTGTTTCAATTGCATTTAATTCATGATTTTAGGGGCTTTATGATCAAGTGAACTTTGTATTTGCACATTTCTTTTAATTTTTCTCAATTAAAGTGGTA